ACAGAAAGGCAGGCGAAAGGTGTCCATAAAAATGAACATATTTTATCTGTGGTGAACAGTGATTATATATCTACAAATAGTAGTGAACATTATATGACTTTAGCTCAGTTAATTAATTATTGAGTGATACACGCAATTTATTTGCCTGTCCTGATGTTCCTTTTGGGGAAGCCTTTGCTGAGTGTTTCCCCAAAACAGCAAAGCAAATATTGGGGGGGGTAGGTACAACTCTGCATTTCTGCATTGACATGCATAAAAAATTCCAGCTTGCAGTATGGTATTTCACTTTCTATTGGAATACATGTCTTTAAATCTCACTTGGGATACTTAGTTTGACGGACAGTTGGTATACTGCCGGCCAACAGTTGGCCGACAGTCGGCCGACAAACTTTTAGGGTAGCTGTTCTTCACTTTTACCCAGTTACCAGCAAAAATATGGTAAGTTTGGATTATAAAGGTGGAAATTAAATTCACTGTTTTTTTTCTGTTTCAGATGGAAGGGGTTAAGAGATGACTTGCTCTTTCTCCTTGAAGAGGAGCCATGTCATGTTAATTTATGTGCTCTGCCTGCAGTGTATAACATTTTAATTTTTAAATTCTCTGCACCCATTGTAGTAAGGCACAGTCAACATTGTTTTATTTAAAAAAATATATTTTATTTAAGTCTTATCCTCTAACAATATTATTATGTTTAGTGTTGCCTGATCACTTCTGAGATATATATTTATTTGTCATAAATATCATATTTCTAAGATTTATCTGGCATTCAGCGTAATGCCTGAGAGCTTCTGGGATATATAGCAAACTTAGTTTTTCATTCACTGTTAATAGAGGGAAATGATGTCTTTCCTTTCTGGTTCACCTAGGCTGAAGTCCTTCATTCAGAGTAATGCCTGAGCACTTCTGGGATATATAACATGCTTAGCTTTTCATTCATGGTGAATATAGGGAAGTGTTGTCCATCCTTTCTGGTTCACACAGGCTGAAGTCCAGGCATTCAGAGTAATACCAGAGCACTTCTGGGATTTATAACATACTTAGCTTTTCATTCATGGTCAATATAGGGAAGTGTTGTCTATCCTTTCTGGTTCACCCAGGCTGAAGTCCTGGCATTCAGTGTAATGCCTGAGCACTTCTGGGATATAACATACTGAACTTTTTATTCATGGTCAATATAGGGAAGTTTTGTCTATCCTTTCTGGTTCATCAAGGCTGAAGTCCTGGCATTCAGAGTAATGCCTGAGCGCTTCTGGGATAAAGAACATACTTAGCTTTTCATTCATGGTCAATATAGGGAAGTGTTGTCTATCCTTTCTGGTTCACCCAGGCTGAAGTCCTGGCATTCAATGTAATGCCTGAGCGCTTCTGGGATAAAGAACATACTTAGCTTTTCATTCATGGTCAATATAGGGAAGTGTTGTCTATCCTTTCTGGTTCACCCAGGCTGAAGTCCTGGCATTCAGTGTAATGCCTGAGCGCTTCTGGGATATAATTGTAAGTTAGCTTTTCATTCATGGT